CCTATAAAGGAAGAAATGCTAACAAAATGATTGAAAAGATTCTTGTTGGCATTCATTGTCCATGTCAATTCAGCAGCTTCATTCTATTGAGCTAGCAAGATCCCATTGTCTCTAATGTTCCAAGGGGTCCTGGAGCTTCTATTTTTAGGGATGATTGAGAGTTATACAAAGTAATGTTTCTGGGGGATAGAGAATAGGCATTTGGAAAAGGAAACAAGGAAACTGGAAAATTGAAAGTATATTATTTAGTGTTTACTATCCCAAACTAGTTATATGATACAGGATATCTATATTTTTTTTTTGTTTTTTTGATCCCTTACTGTTAAGAATGATCTTCCAGCCTGGGTAACATAGAGAGACTCAGTCTCCACCGAAAAGAAAAAAATTTTTTTCTTTTTAATTAGCCAGGCATGGTGGCACACCCATAGTCCCAGCTACTCGGGAGGCTGAGGTGGGAGGATTGCATGAGCTCAGGAGTTAGTACCACTGCATCAGCCTGACCCTGTCTCTAGGAAAAAAAAAAAAATTGTCTTGTATCTCTTTCCTTTACACCCAACTCCTCCTTTTTTCTTTTTCTCCCTTTCCCTTTCTGCATATTTGAGCATAGGAGGGGTTTGGGGAAGACAGATGAAACCCAGAAAATTCTTGAGCAGGATATGAAATTATAACAGCAGAACTCTAAGGAGACTAAATGCACAATAGATACATAGATCAGAATTCAGCCAAGCACAGTGGCTCATTACTGTAATCCCAGCACTTTAGGAGGCTGAGGCAGGAGGATCACTTGAGGCCAGGATTTTGAGACCAGCCTGGGCAACATAGTGAGACTTTGTCTCTATAAAACATAAAATAAAAATTTGCCAGTGTGGTGGCACATGCCTGTAGTCCCAGCTACTCTGGAGGCTGAAGCAGGAGGATCCCTTGAGCCCAGGAGTTCGAGGCGACAGTGAGCTGTGTTCATTCCACTGTACCAGCCTGAGCAAGAGCAGGACCCTGTCTCTTAAAAAAATAAAGAAAGAATTTAAAATATTTAAAATGTGGAAAGACTTAATATGTATACGTCAGTACTCCGATTCCTTAAATTGACGTATCTAATGCTTACATTATTATCATGATTCTCCTGTTTCTCACCAGTAATTAATCTCTCCCTTCTTGCTAATTGTTTTTACCCATTTCAACCCTAACTGGGGAAGTTCCCTATTTCTTGATGTTCTCTCAACTCTTCATCTATTCCTTGTTTTACTAGTTGTCACTATGTTACTCCTCATATCTAAGCTGTCTGAGTTTCTCCCAGAAAGCAGAGTCTGATGTGGGCTTTCTTGTTGTGGGCTTATTAGCAGCAAGTTTACTTTGGGAAGTGATTACCAAAATAGAGAAAAGAGTGAACAAGAAAAGGGGGGATATATTATCAACTCCCATGGGCAACCGGGGCCTCATCATCAGACTGATATGTGTTGACAGGTGAATAGAAACACTGCAGAATTATCCAAGTGAACGTCAGAAGGGGGAAGCTTGTTGCCTTTATCCCTCAATTCCCTGACCCAAAAACTAAAAGCAAAAAAATGCTTCAAAACATAAGTTGCCATTAACCTCATTCATGTAACAAACATATTGAATGCATAATCCTCGGGAAGAGCCCACTGGGCATTGAGAACCATCAGGACTTTTTGCTTTACTGTTTGCTTGGACCTGGAGCTTAAAGTGGGCACCTTAAAATCCCCCAAAGGAAGAGAGAGTAACACACAGGGAAAGTGAGGCCCAGTCTTTCACAGTCTGCCTCGTAGACAGTGGCAGACCACCTGGAGATACCTAAGGCATGACAAGCCTCCTTGGCACCCTGCCTGCTGCTCAGCCACTCTGAGGATGGCGATTAGACAGATTTATAAAAATGGCAGAATTAAGTCAGAGAGGCACCTGAAGTTGAATCACATTCTCCTAAAAATCTTGTCTGCCCAACACCAGCACACATTTAAGTTAAAAATACTTTGAAACGAGTTAAATATACTTTAAAAATAGTTTTTACTGAGAACAGAAAAATCATGAGGTTCTCTATAACAGTCTGAACAGGTTTATCTGTTTGCATTTTTGCATGGTGTTTGGTCAGGAGAAGAAAGGCCACTGTAATTCCTTAGAGGTCCGAGCTCCTCTGTACGATTTAGTCACCTGATCTTGGCAGTGCATCCTCTATAGTGCTTCTCCGTGAGTCTTTGCCTACATGTAGCAAAGTTCCTGGTCTCAGATCTATATTTTGTGTTGTATATCCTTATTCTACTATATGATAATCTTGACTTTTCCTCATCTTAGTTTACCTGGCTTTGGAGAAGTTCCTTAACTTTAAGCTTCCATTTTCACATTTGTAACAGGGTAATAATATGAACCTCTTAGGGTTGTTGAGGATTAATTAAGGTAACAGCTATAAACCTCACGGCACAGTAAGAGGAACTAGTAAGCCCTGAATAAATGGAAACTCTGGAGCAGTCGCTCCAATTGAAACGATGTGCAGTTGCCAATTTAATCTCCCTAAAGCTCCTGCTGCATTATGTCTCTCAACTAACTCAGAAGATTCCATAAACAACTAGTTCCCTACAAAATAAGGTCTCTTTTTGTCATCGAAACCCTCAGTCTACCACTCCCACCCCCAAATTGTGACATTCTTCCTCCCCCTTAAACCCTTTTCTCCAGCCAGTGACTCTGTGTCTCTTGGATACTTCAAATGGACTCCCATCCTCTGCACCGTGTGCCTATGCAGTGCCTGTCCAAGTGTCACTTTACAGTTTACAAAGCACCGTCCTCTACAGTGTCCTGCTTGCTTCTCTTGCACAGCCTCTGCCTCACACGGGCCATTCGCCTTTATCCTCCCATTCAGTCAGATCCAAGGACTTGACCAAAATCACAAAACTAGGATAAAAACCTTGCCTTAGCCAGGCGCGGTGGCTCACGCCTGTAATCCTAGCACTCTGGGAGGCTGAGGCGGGCGGATTGCTCGAGGTCAGGAGTTCGAAACCAGCCTGAGCAAGAGCGAGACCCCGTCCCTACTATAAACAGAAAGAAATTAATTGGCCAACTAATATAAATATAAAATATAAAATTAGCCGGGCATGGTGGCACATGCCTGTAGTCCCAGCTACTCGGGAGGCTGAGGCAGCAGGATTGCTTGAGCCCAGGAGTTTGAGGTTGCTGTGAGCTAGGCTGACGCCACAGCACTCACTCTAGCCTGGGCAACAAAGTGAGACTCTGTCTCAAAAAAAAACAAAAAAACCTTGCCTTAATTAATTTTCTTTCCTATTATTTTTTAAATCTATCTTGACTTCCTTCAGAGTTAATAAGTAGTCGTTCCGTTCGTTTCGAACAGAACTAACTCAGAAAATTCCATAAACAACTAGTTCCCTACAAAATAATAATCAATGACAAAAAATCTCTTTTTGTCATTGAAATCCTCAGTCTACCACCACCACCCCCCAAATTGTGACATTCTTTGTCACAATTCTGTTCTTTGTTACCTGAGGAGTATCGGCTCCTTGATGAACCCACCCCTCCTAAAATATGTAATGTTTATACAGTCCAATTTTGTATTTACAGAAGAAAGTACTTTTGTTGCCCAATTATAATAGGTTTTGCTTCCATACTAATTTTACATGTGTTTTTCAGAAAGTTTATCCATTTACCAAAGATTTATAGAGTTCAGTGAAAGGCAGGATGTTAGTGCTTACAAAATAAAATTCCTGAATGGTTTTCAAAGCCTAGGAAGGAAACAGACTTGAACATAAATGCCAGAAACATTTCTAGGATTGACGTAAGTATGTCATTATGTAGTTGAAACATAAGCTGATAAATCTTTGAATTAATGGTGGGAATGCAGCTATCAGTGCCATTTTAACTCTGGAAGAGCACAGTCTCTATCAATAAAATCCAGATCCTTGTATCTAAGAAGGTATTTTGATTTTCATTTAAAACTCAATTGAATTTTAGGATCAGTGTGCCCATGGCAAGAACAAATACCTTTTTGACTAACAGATGTACAATATTCACTTTGGGGATGTTTTGTCCCTTAAAAATGGTAGGTTTCAGTGTATCATTAACCATATTTGCAAAGAAGAGAAAAATGTGGCCATTTCAAACATTATGTCCACAATAAGCCATTTTTTTTAGTAGATCTTGAGTTCTTTTAATATTTCTTACGGCCTGTGGATGCCAGGAATAAACATGATAGTAGCATCAAATAATAATGTAGTGCTTGAAGTTAAAGGAACAATGGTTAGGAAAGGGCCATTAAACAAGGAAAATACATTAAGCCACTGAAGTAAAATCAGACCTGTAAAATTTATCCAGTAACCAACTGTAAGTAAGTTATATAACTAAATTATTTGGAAAGGCACTAGCCCAGACCTTAAGTGTTTGCTTCCAAATATACCACAAGTATCTAATCTATCTTTGTTGAATAAAAGGGGAAATACTATATAGTCTAGGTATATCTTTTAAAATATTATTGATTCTTCTGAATATATAACAATAGTAATATTTTTCCAAAGTTTACTTTTAGGAATAACATAGACAGCGTATTCAAATTGCTTTTAAGGCCAAACGAGGTGGCTCACGCCTGTAACCCTAACACTCTGGGAGGCCGAGGCGGGCAGATCGATCAAGGTCAGGGGTTTGAAACCAGCCTTAGCTGTCTTTACTAAAAATAGAAAGAAATTAATTGGCCAACTGAAAATATATAGAAAAATTAGCCGGGCATGGTGGCATGTGCCTGTAGTCCCAGCTACTCGGGAGGCTGAGGCAGAAGGATCCACTGAGCCCAGGAGTTTGAGGTTGCTGTGAGCTAGGCTGACGCCATGGCACTCTAGCCCGGGCAACAGAGTGAGACTCTGTCTCAAAAAAAAAAAAAATTGCTTTTAAAATTTCTGAAGTAATCTCAATACTGTGACTGTCCCTTCAGTTATAAAGAGACTTATTTACATGCTGCCGTTACAGAGGTCACTTTGAATTTCCCTGCTTACTGTTAAACAGAGAATGGTTTCAGTGGGTAGTCATAGCCTTCGATCCCAGGTTCTTGGACTTTCAGATGTGCCTAGAGAGAGAGTAGAAGGCATTTACGTTGACATTACCTAAATGACTTGTTTATAAAGACACCACCCCCACACCCCATTTCTCAAAGCCTCACCCTGGGCATGTCAAATTCTTTAGGTTTTTAGTTGTGCTACATGTCTGAGGAGTTTATTGATCTAGACACAGGAGGACATTCTTGAGAAATGAAGTCTTCAGTGATTAGGTTATTGGAGTTTTTCCTATTGTTAAGACAGATTCCCAACTGAAAAGATCTTTTCCTAAGAAGTCATTTAAGAACTGGGGGAAAAGTCCATTTTCCATTTAAATGGGAAATGACAGCACAAAGACAGGTCTTCTCATTAGTTAACAGCAAAGGGCAGAATCCCTGTAGGGCTGATAGAAATCAGACAGCTTGGTCAAGAAGAGAAAGGAACAACAAGCACAGAATTCAGACCCAAGGAAACTCAGTTACAAGACAGAGCTTGAGATGGCTCACACCTTGTAATCCCAGCACTCCGGGAGGCCAAGGCGGGTGGATCGCTCAAGGTCAGGAGTTCAAAACCAGCCTGAGCAAGAGCGAGACCCTGTCTCTACTAAAAATAGAAAGAAATTAATTGGCCGACTTAAAATATAAATAAATAAAAAAGACAGAGCTTGAGCAAATGTTTTCTCTTCTGGGAGGGAGATCCAGATCAGGAGGGGAATCATACCTGCTGGGTGATATGAGAGCCCCTAGCCCACAGGTGGCCAGAGGCTACACCGTTGAACCACACAGATGGAGAACATTTCCATCATCACAGAAAGTTCTACTGGACAGCGCTGTTGTATATAAACTTTTTAAAGAGCAATTAAGCCACTAAGCCACTTCTTAAAGGGGGTTTGAAGAATTAATCTTTTAAAGGATAAATTGTATGTATGACCATCTTAGCTCAGCTCTTGGCTCACTGCTGATTTCTCTCCCTTCTTGCTAGCCCCCCAATTATTCAGGAACATTTACCTCATAAATCGAAATATCCTGTTTCTTCTGCATTCAGAGCTGGTCTGATTTCCACAGAGATAGAGACTTGGAAACAGACATTTAGAAGTTGCTAGAATAGAACTGCTGGCAGTTGGAAATTGGATTCCTCACTAACACTCTAGATTCCTGACTAACACCCCAGATCCACTGTGATTTTGCTGAGTCCATTAATGTCATTAATAAAAAGATTCAAACCAATGCACACTGGTGCATGCCTATAATCCCAGCTACCCAAGACACTGAGGTGGGAGGTTGACTTTAGCTCCAGGAGTTCAAACCTCCAGGAGTCCAGCCTGAACAACATAGCAGGACACTGTCTCTTGAAAAAAAGGTTTATGGTGTTCTATATCCCATACAAAAACTGTAAGAGACTATTTTAATCTATATACAAGTATTGTATATTCTGTATATAGATTAAACACTTGTATATAGATACTTAGTTTGAAATTTTTCATCCTTTGATAGTTGTGCAGTTATCTTGACCAATATCTGGTATGTACCCATCTAGACCTTGAAAAATTCCTTGCTGATGCTGGTAACTTGAATTAGTACCAAGGCGCAGGACCATGGTTCTCAAGCCTGACTTCTCAGAACTCTCAGTGGATCTTCAGAAAGAAAGAAAGTTCAATATTCAAGGCTCCCTTTTCCCTAATCCCCACTCAGAATTTGCCAGAGCCCAGCCCTGCATAGGTTGTAAATCTCCATGGGTAGTTTCGTTTTTATTTTCAGTTAGGTTTGAGAAAACTACCGAGCTAAATAATCACATGGAACAACAAAGGAAGAAAAGTTTAGTTTTTCTGAAACAGAAATGCTATCTCAGTGGTTCTGACCTTTTACTGCATGGCGCACATACAGAGCAAGGACATTTGTGTAGTCCCTTGGTACACGCTGCAGGTGATGCTGTGGCGAGCCCTGGCCTGCAGGGACCAGGCTGGGCCAAGCAAGGCTTCAGTGGTCCCTGTCTCCACACACCTTGCAACCCATTTCCAGCCCATAGCTGTCAGGTGGGAAGTTCTGCTCAAGACCCTCGCAAGTATTACGCAATTATATCTGGTCACATTGAATACGTTCATTTTGATAATAGGGTTTTCAAATCAAGATATTTATATTAACCCCCAACATGCCTCAAAACTGAGAAGGAGGCTAGGATTAACTATCAGATTTTCTAGTTAGTTTTTCTAAATATTTTGACTCAGGAAACTTCAAGTAAAAATATGTTTTTGTTGTAAACAGGAATACATTGGCATTACCTACATATATTTCCAAGGTATTTCCACATACGTTTTCTTATCTATTGCTAAAATTAATTATGAAAATTGTGTAATGCTTGAGTCATGTATTCTCATTTTTATTGTTGTGAAATGCTGGGCCTTTTATAATAGCTTTATAATTTACCAATTAACTGAAACGTAGCCCGTATTACCTGTTACTTCAAAGAAGGAATTAAAGTAGGAAGCAAAGTACTAAACTCATTTCCAAGTAAATTATTAAGCAATCCTACATGTACTAATTAGTCTTTCTCTTACTCTGATTCCTTAAAACTGAGTATGTAGGCCGCTAACACCATTATCATAATGGTTTCTAAGGTTCGTGTTCAAACCAGAATAGAATTGTTGGGTATTCCTTTTGCTTTTTAAGAACTTGGGCACAAAATCCCAAGGTACTCACAGTGCGTTTTATATAAGTCAGTTTCTAAGTAGTAAAAAAATAGAATATTTTAGAGGGGATTTAGTGACAGGAACCACTGCTATATTTGCAGATAAAGCAAATCTACTATTGCCAATTCTGTAAATCTGTAAAGAGTGAAGGTTCAGTCAAATAATTGAAGTTGCATAGCAGGAAACCAAACTCCCCTCATATGGGATCCTGATTATTGTGTTTAGTAGCCGTCGAGCTGTTGTTGTATGCCAAGGAGAGAGCCACCACCTACAGAACCACTCAGCTGTCCTGATCATTCTTGCAACTCACCACCCCGTCACCCTAAGAGCCCTTGGTTAAGCTGGTGTGGTACCCTGGGGAATTTTGAAATAGTTCCACTGCTTTTCCTTTCCACAGTCTTCTCTCTCCAACTTGAATAAAATGGGATCCCAAGGAGGATGTGAACTGAAGAACATTCACTATTACCACATTACCTTTGACTTACTTAGACACCATCCTAGTCACTTCTGCCAAAGGAATCTTCAGGCCAGCCTGCCACCTTGATGATTTAAGGATGTTGTCTATCATAGGTTCTCCAGTTGCACATTAGAATTGCCTGGGTAATTCTATCAGGGTACCTTTATTTATTTTTTTAAAGCTCCCCAAGTAATGTTCATGTGGGTTAAGAACCACTGGTCCGAGTAAACTTGAACTTCATTTCTGAAGCAGCCAGTAATAAAAAGGCCAAAAAGGTATTATTATAAGATAGACATATATAGTCACAAATGCATTGGGTAATTTACTTTTTTTTAGTTAGTTAACATTTCTTCCAGTAAATTTCTGATGTGGATTCAGATACATAAGACAGAATGAAAGTGAGAGCAGTGTTCTAGGTTAGGCCTCTGTGACTAGAAGCTCACTGCACTAGTGCACTCCAGTAGGTTTCTTCTGCCTCATCCTTGAATGTGACATGAAAACTTGGTGCTGTAATGAATTTTCCTGGCCTCTCTGTGTCACCAAGTGTGTTTGCCAGAGAAGATAGTTGTTCCATTGATTTAGTTTACTTTATATATTTTGGTACTTGACTCTGTAATTACTTTTTTTTTTTAATAGAAAAGCATTGTCTGCTCAGTGTAGAAAATTTAGGAAATGTAGAGAAGTATAGAGAAAGAAAAATATAAATCATCCGCAGTGCCACAATCCAAAATAATTCCCGCTGACATTTTTCATTTCTTTTTTTGTACCGATTTGCCAGCTTTCAGAGATGCCTTTTAATTTTAATATTTGAGAATTTAATATGTATATGTTTGAAATTTTTCATAATGAAAAGGAGTCAAGTCTACGAGTGATCTCTGAGCCACTCTGCAGTTTGTACATTTTCTTATCTTTTCTTTTCTTTTCTTTTTTTTTTTTTTTTTTGAGGCAGAGTCTCACTTTGTTGCCCAGGCTAGAGTGAGTGCCGGGGCATCAGCCTAGCTCACAGCAACCTCAAACTCCTGGGCTCAAGCAATCCTTCTGCCTCAGCCTCCCAAGTGGCTGGGACTACAGGCATGCACCACCATGCCCAGCTAATTTTTTCTATATGTATTAGTTGGCCAATTAATTTCTTTCTATTTATAGTAGAGACGGGGTCTTGCTCTTGCTCAGGCTGGTTTCGAACTCCTGACCTGGAGTAATCCGCCCGCCTCGCCCTCCCATAGTGCTAGGATTACAGGCATGAGCCACTGCGCCCAGCCTACATTTTCTTTTTTTCTTAAGTAGAGTGGCTCTAATTACAATGTATACTTTAAATGTTATTTTTGTTTTTAGTTTTCCTGTACCTGAGTTGGTTGCTTCTTGCAATAATCACTTCTTAGTGACTAGATATTTAATGATCTTTGATGTGTAAGTTAAACAGACGCATTGTGAAATCGCAAACATGATGTCGCCATATGTACATGCATAGTTACCCTTTCAAAGCAGTCTACTAAGTAAGGTATGAGCCATATCAGCAGACCTAGCCATTTGACTCAGTTGGCCCATTTGTGCCAGATTACCAAGACTTGGCAGGCAATTTCAGTTTGACCTTGAGCATCTTTTACATTTGGGTACTCAGTTCTCCATTATTTCTTAAACATTAATGCTCCTGGCCCCTCCCCCATAACCTCTGAGTCAAGGAGACAACAATTAATATTTATACTAGCCTATTTATAAGTTACTTTCCAACATTATAAAAATTTGATCCTGTACTGCATATTAATATATTTTTCCCTCTGTACATGAGATGTCACCTACAAGCATACCACAGTAAAATAAATATCACCATAAAACAAGTCACAACAAATGTTTGATTTCGCAGTGCATATAAAAATTATACTATACTGTAGTCTCTTTTTTTTTTTTTTCGAACCACTTGTATTGACATATACTGTAGTCTCTTAAGTGTGCAGTAGCATTGTGTCTAAAAAATCAATGTATATAGCTTAATTCAAAAAATACTTTATTAAAAAATGCTGGTGATCATCTGAGCCTTCTGCAATTCATAATCTTTTTGCTAGTGGAGGGTCTTGCCTTGGTGTTGATGGCTGCTGACTGACTGATCAGGGTGATGTTTGCTAAAAGTTGGAGTGCCTGTGGCGACTTCTTAAAATAAGACAACAGTGCAGTTTGCTGTAATTATTTGGCTCTCCCTTTCAGTAAATATGTCTCTGTAGCATGTGGTGCTATTTGGCAACACTTTACCCACAGTAGAACTTCTTCCAAAATTGGAGTCAGTCCTCCCAGACTCTGCCGCTGTTTTATCAACAAAGGTTATGTAGTATATTCTAAATCCTTTGTTGTCATTTCAACCACATTCACAGAACCATCACCAGGAGTAGATTCCACCTCAAGAAACCACCTTGTTTGCTAATCTGTAAGATGGACTCCTCATCCATTCAAGTTTGGTCATAAGATTTCAGCAATTCAGTCACATCTTCAGGCTCCACTTGTAATTCTGGTTCTCTTGTTTTTTCTACCATATTTTCACTTCCTCCACAGAAGTCTTGAATCCTTCAAAGTCATCTATGAGGGATAAAATCAGCTTCTTCCAAACTCCTTTTGATGTTCTTAACCCTTTGCACTCAGATGTCCAGTTAGCACAGTTTGCTAACTGTGTCGACACAGTTAGCAAAAAGTATAGAGATTAAAATTACTCTTTGAATGTATCAGTAATTTAAAATATTTAAAAATCCAAATAATCTGTACCCCCATAATATGCTGAAATAAAAAAAAATCCAAATAAATAAGTTTGTATGAAAAGAAACTCCAGTTTTTTATTCTACTGCCACACTTTGTAAAATCTGGGGTATTTACAAAAATTAAATCCTGAGTAAAATAAAGGAATCGAGAAAAAAGCAAGCGAGTGCAAAGGGTTAATGACATCTAGAATGGTGAGTCCTTTACAGAAGGTTTTTAATTTACTTTGCCCAGATGCGTCAGAGGAATCACTGTCTATGGCAGCTGTGGCCTTATGAAATGTATTTCTTAAATAATAAGACTTAAAAGTAGAAATGACTCCTTGACGCATGGGCTGCAGAATGAATGTTGTGTTAGCAGGCATGAAAACAATATTCATCTCCTTGCACATGTCATGAGAACTTTTGGGTGACCTGGTG